TACTGCATGGTACCTCTGTGTACTCTGTAGTACCCTGAAGTACTGCATGGTACCTCTGTGTACTCTGTAGTACCCTGAAGTACTGCATGGTACCTCTGTGTACTCTGTAGTACCCTGAACTACTGCATGGTACCTCTGTGTACTCTGTAGTACCCTGTAGTACTCTCAGGTACCTCTGTGTACTCTATAGTACCCTGTAGCACTCTCAGGTACCTCTGTGTACTCTCTAGTACCCTGTAGTACTGCATGGTACCTCTGTGTACTCTGTAGTACCCTGTAGTACTCTCAGGTACCTCTGTGTACTCTGTAGTACCCTGTAGTACTGCATGGTACCTCTGTGTACTCTGTAGTACCCTGAAGTACTGCATGGTACCTCTGTGTACTCTGTAGTACCCTGAAGTACTGCATGGTACCTCTGTGTACTCTGTAGTGCCCTGTAGTACTGCATGGTACCTCTGTGTACTCTGTAGTACCCTGTAGTACTGCATGGTACCTCTGTGTACTCTGTAGTACCCTGTAGTACTGCATGGTACCTCTGTGTACTCTGTAGTACCCTGTAGTACTGCATGATACCTCTGTGTACTCTGTAGTACCCTGTAGTACTCCATGGTATATCTGTGTACTCTATAGTACCCTGTAGTACTCTCAGGTACCTCTGTGTACTCTGTAGTACCCTGTAGTACTCTCAGGTACCTCTGTGTACTCTATAGTACCCTGTAGTACTCTCTGGTACCTCTGTGTACTCTATAGTACCCTGTAGTACTCTCAGGTACCTCTGTGTACTATAGTACCCTGTAGTACTGCATGGTACCTCTGTGTACTCTGTAGTACTCTCAGGTACCTCTGTGTACTCTATAGTACCCTGTAGTACTCTCAGGTACCTCTGTGTACTCTGTAGTACCCTGTAGTACTCTCAGGTACCTCTGTGTACTCTGTAGTACCCTGTAGTACTCTCAGGTACCTCTGTGTACTCTATAGTACCCTGTAGTACTCTCAGGTACCTCTGTGTACTCTATAGTACCCTGTAGTACTGCATGGTACCTCTGTGTACTCTGTAGTACTCTCAGGTACCTCTGTGTACTCTATAGTACCCTGTAGTACTCTCAGGTACCTCTGTGTACTCTGTAGTACCCTGTAGTACTGCATGGTATCTCTGTGTACTCTATAGTACCCTGTAGTACTGCATGGTACCTCTGTGTACTCTGTAGTACCCTGTAGTACTCTCAGGTACCTCTGTGTACTCTATAGTACCCTGTAGTACTCTCAGGTACCTCTGTGTACTCTATAATACCCTGTAGTACTCTCAGGTACCTCTGTGTACTCTGTAGTACCCTGTAGTACTGCATGGTACCTCTGTGTACTCTGTAGTACTCTCAGGTACCTCTGTGTACTCTGTAGTACCCTGTAGTACTGCATGGTACCTCTGTAGTACCCTGTAGTACTGCATGGTACCTCTGTGTACTCTATAGTACCCTGTAGTACTCTCAGGTACCTCTGTGTACTCTATAGTACCCTGTAGTACTCTCAGGTACCTCTGTGTACTCTATAGTACCCTGTAGTACTGCATGGTACCTCTGTGTACTCTATAGTACCCTGTAGTACTCTCAGGTACCTCTGTGTACTCTGTAGTACCCTGTAGTACTGCATGGTACCTCTGTGTACTCTGTAGTACTCTCAGGTACCTCTGTGTACTCTGTAGTACCCTGTAGTACTCTCAGGTACCTCTGTGTACTCTGTAGTACCCTGTAGTACTGCATGGTACCTCTGTGTACTCTGTAGTACTCTGTAGTACTCTCAGGTACCTCTGTGTACTCTGTAGTACCCTGTAGTACTGCATGGTACCTCTGTGTACTCTATAGTACCCTGTAGTACTCTCAGGTACCTCTGTGTACTCTGTAGTACCCTGTAGTACTGCATGGTACCTCTGTGTACTCTGTAGTACTCTCAGGTACCTCTGTGTACTCTGTAGTACCCTGTAGTACTCTCAGGTACCTCTGTGTACTCTGTAGTACCCTGTAGTACTGCATGGTACCTCTGTGTACTCTATAGTACCCTGTAGTAATGCATGGTACCTCTGTGTACTCTGTAGTACTCTCAGGTACCTCTGTGTACTCTATAGTACCCTGTAGTACTCTCAGGTACCTCTGTGTACTCTATAGTACCCTGTAGTACTGCATGGTACCTCTGTGTACTCTATAGTACCCTGTAGTACTGCATGGTACCTCTGTGTACTCTGTAGTACTCTCAGGTACCTCTGTGTACTCTGTAGTACCCTGTAGTACTGCATGGTACCTCTGTGTACTCTATAGTACCCTGTAGTACTGCATGGTACCTCTGTGTACTCTGTAGTACTCTCAGGTACCTCTGTGTACTCTATAGTACCCTGTAGTACTCTCAGGTACCTCTGTGTACTCTGTAATACCCTGTAGTACTCTCAGGTACCTCTGTGTACTCTGTAGTACCCTGTAGTACTGCATGGTACCTCTGTGTACTCTATAGTACCCTGTAGTACTCTCAGGTACCTCTGTGTACTCTATAGTACCCTGTAGTACTCTCAGGTACCTCTGTGTACTCTGTAATACCCTGTAGTACTCTCAGGTACCTCTGTGTACTCTGTAGTACCCTGTAGTACTGCATGGTACCTCTGTGTACTCTATAGTACCCTGTAGTACTGCATGGTACCTCTGTGTACTCTGTAGTACTCTCAGGTACCTCTGTGTACTCTATAGTACCCTGTAGTACTCTCAGGTACCTCTGTGTACTCTGTAATACCCTGTAGTACTCTCAGGTACCTCTGTGTACTCTGTAGTACCCTGTAGTACTGCATGGTACCTCTGTGTACTCTGTAGTACTCTCAGGTACCTCTGTGTACTCTATAGTACCCTGTAGTACTCTCAGGTACCTCTGTGTACTCTGTAATACCCTGTAGTACTCTCAGGTACCTCTGTGTACTCTGTAGTACCCTGTAGTACTGCATGGTACCTCTGTGTACTCTATAGTACCCTGTAGTACTGCATGGTACCTCTGTGTACTCTATAGTACCCTGTAGTACTCTCAGGTACCTCTGTGTACTCTGTAGTACCCTGTAGTACTGCATGGTACCTCTGTGTACTCTATAGTACCCTGTAGTACTCTCAGGTACCTCTGTGTACTCTGTAGTACCCTGTAGTACTCTCAGGTACCTCTGTGTACTCTGTAGTACCCTGTAGTACTCTCAGGTACCTCTGTGTACTCTGTAGTACCCTGTAGTACTGCATGGTACCTCTGTGTACTCTATAGTACCCTGTAGTACTGCATGGTACCTCTGTGTACTCTGTAGTACTCTCAGGTACCTCTGTGTACTCTGTAGTACCCTGTAGTACTGCATGGTACCTCTGTGTACTCTGTAGTACTCTCAGGTACCTCTGTGTACTCTATAGTACCCTGTAGTACTCTCAGGTACCTCTGTGTACTCTGTAGTACCCTGTAGTACTGCATGGTACCTCTGTGTACTGTATAGTACCCTGTAGTACTGCATGGTACCTCTGTGTCCTCTGTAGTACTCTCAGGTACCTCTGTGTACTCTATAGTACCCTGTAGTACTCTCAGGTACCTCTGTGTACTCTGTAGTACCCTGTAGTACTCTCAGGTACCTCTGTGTACTCTGTAGTACCCTGTAGTACTGCATGGTACCTCTGTGTACTCTGTAGTACCCTGTAGTACTCTCAGGTACCTCTGTGTACTCTGTAGTACCCTGTAGTACTCTCAGGTACCTCTGTGTACTCTGTAGTACCCTGTAGTACTGCATGGTACCTCTGTGTACTCTGTAGTACCCTGTAGTACTCTCAGGTACCTCTGTGTACTCTGTAGTACCCTGTAGTACTCTCAGGTACCTCTGTGTACTCTGTAGTACTCTCAGGTACCTCTGTGTACTCTGTAGTACCCTGTAGTACTCTCAGGTACCTCTGTGTACTCTGTAGTACCCTGTAGTACTGCATGGTACCTCTGTGTACTCTATAGTACCCTGTAGTACTGCATGGTACCTCTGTGTACTCTATAGTACCCTGTAGTACTCTCAGGTACCTCTGTGTACTCTGTAGTACCCTGTAGTACTGCATGGTACCTCTGTGTACTCTGTAGTACTCTCAGGTACCTCTGTGTACTCTGTAGTACCCTGTAGTACTCTCAGGTACCTCTGTGTACTCTGTAGTACCCTGTAGTACTCTCAGGTACCTCTGTGTACTCTGTAGTACCCTGTAGTACTGCATGGTACCTCTGTGTACTCTGTAGTACTCTCAGGTACCTCTGTGTACTCTGTAGTACCCTGTAGTACTGCATGGTACCTCTGTGTACTCTGTAGTACTCTCAGGTACCTCTGTGTACTCTATAGTACCCTGTAGTACTCTCAGGTACCTCTGTGTACTCTGTAGTACCCTGTAGTACTGCATGGTACCTCTGTGTACTGTATAGTACCCTGTAGTACTGCATGGTACCTCTGTGTCCTCTGTAGTACTCTCAGGTACCTCTGTGTACTCTATAGTACCCTGTAGTACTCTCAGGTACCTCTGTGTACTCTGCTGTAGTACCCTGTAGTACTCTCAGGTACCTCTGTGTACTCTGTAGTACCCTGTAGTACTGCATGGTACCTCTGTGTACTCTGTAGTACCCTGTAGTACTCTCAGGTACCTCTGTGTACTCTGTAGTACCCTGTAGTACTCTCAGGTACCTCTGTGTACTCTGTAGTACCCTGTAGTACTGCATGGTACCTCTGTGTACTCTGTAGTACCCTGTAGTACTCTCAGGTACCTCTGTGTACTCTGTAGTACCCTGTAGTACTCTCAGGTACCTCTGTGTACTCTGTAGTACCCTGTAGTACTCTCAGGTACCTCTGTGTACTCTGTAGTACCCTGTAGTACTCTCAGGTACCTCTGTGTACTCTGTAGTACCCTGTAGTACTCTCAGGTACCTCTGTGTACTCTGTAGTACCCTGTAGTACTCTCAGGTACCTCTGTGTACTCTAGTAAAAGTATCCTGGAGGAGTACTGTGAGATCAGCAGTCTGCTGACGGAGGAAGTCGTCGGCGGTCCATCGGGAGATCTCGGCGTCCGTCCAGCAGATAGACCCGCTGGCCGAGTACCAGCACTTCATCGACGCCTACAGGTGAGTCCGGCCCGCCTTGCGAAGGCTGCGGCGATGCCCGCTCGCCGTAGTAACCCTCCATTCATCCGCGGTCAGGTCGGTGCCACCGGAGGCGAACGTGGAGTTCGATGCGTCCCTATTGGACGAGACGGAAAACATCCCGGCCAACGAGATCCTGTGGAACACGCTAACGGCAGACAGCTTGCAGAACACGTGAGCGCCTGCTGCATAAAAGCACTTCCTGTGGCCTTCCAGAGTAAAAGCCCATTCTGACCTCCTGTCCAGGTTATCGTGGAAGACGGAGGAGTTGGCGCTGACCCAGAAGAACCTGCAGGAGAGGAGACGCTGGCAGACGACCTGGAGGCCCGGATCCAGACCGGCCAGCAGAACGCCGACAGGAAAAGCGAGTGAGTGAAGGGGGCGGAGCTAGGCCTCACCTAGTGGGGTGCAGGGGGCGGAGCCAGGCCTCACCTAGTGAGGCCTGGCTCCAGCCGGCTCTCCTCCTGAGCCGGCTGGCCGGCAGGGGGCGGAGCCAGGCCTCACCTAGTGGGGTGCAGGGGGCGGAGCCAGGCCTCACCCAGTGGGGTGAAGGGGGCGGAGCCAGGCCTCACCCAGTGGGGTGAAGGGGGCGGAGCCAGGCCTCACCTGTCTCTCTCACCTGCAGCTGCGTCCTATTGCTGAGCCAGAAGTTGTCCCTGCTGGAGCTGCGTCAGGCCGTCCAATCACTGCGCAGCTCAGAGGCCTGCCTCCTCTCCCAGAAGGCCTTGCTGGACGCCAAGATTACCGCTGCGGTCGCTTCCCCGCCGCCAGCACTGCAGTATGAGGACGACACGCGCTCGGTGTCATCGACGGTGGGTGAAGGTGGCGTTTCAGAGCAATGACAGCCGGCTCTCCTCCTGACCTCTGACCCTCTGGCCTGCAGGACAAGAAGGAGAAGAGCTCCCGCTTCGATACGCTGCGCCACTCGCTGGCCAGCATGATGCGCTCGCCCAAAGCCGTGCTGGGCTCCTCCACTTCGGTGGGTCGTCCTTCCACAGCGTTTCTCTGTCTGTGCTTTGGTCTCGCTGGTCATGTCTTCTTCTTCTGGCCTTCGTTTGAGTAGCAGTTCTTTGATGTGATTCCCACGTCGGAGCGCCCCCTGGCGGAGCAGGAGTGGTACCACGGGGCCATCCCCCGCACCGAGGCTCAGGAGTTGCTACGGCAGCAGGGGGACTTCCTGGTGAGGGAAAGCCACGGGAAGCCGGGCGAGTACGTCTTGTCGGTGTTCTCTGACGACCAGAGGCGGCACTTCATCATCCAATTCGCCGACGTACGTATTCTCACGCTCAGGCCCACCGGAGAAGGTGGGGTCAGAGGTCACCGAACCCACCGCCGGCTCCTCTCTCTCTCTCTGGTAGAGTCAGTACCGGTTTGAAGGGACGGGCTTCCCCACCATCCCTCAGCTCATCGAGCATCACTTCTCCTCCAAGCAGGTCATCACCAAGAAGTCTGGGGTCGTCCTGCTTAACCCGGTCGTCAAGGTAACCCGCCATCACACACCTGCACAGGTGTGTGATGAATGGGCCGAATTCTACTGACACAAAGCCAATCAAATCACCGACCTGACCAGACTGACCGTTAGCACCGCCTCGCTGTTTTCAGAAGCATTTCAGACATAAATCGGAACGGACCGGTCCGTCAGTCGGTCCCGGGTCAGGGTTGGGGTTAAAGTCAGGCTTGGGGTTAAGGTCAGGGTTAAGGTCAGGCTTGGGGTTAAGGTCAGGCTTGGGGTTAAGGTCAGGGTTAAGGTCAGGCTTGGGGTTAAGTTTAGGGTTGGGGTTAAGGTCAGGCTTGGGGTTAAGGTCAGGGTTAAGGTCAGGCTTGGGGTTAAGGTCAGGCTTGGGGTTAAGGTCAGGGTTGGGGTTAAGGTCAGGCTTGGGGTTAAGGTCAGGCTTGGGGTTAAGGTCAGGGTTGGGGTTAAGGTCAGGCTTGGGGTTAAGGTCAGGGTTAAGGTCAGGCTTGGGGTTAAGTTTAGGGTTGGGGTTACAGCGGCGCCGAGACCGTCCTTCATGGTTTGTATTAAAAGTTGTTGACAGGAAATGTAAAATATTGCTGGGTAAATATGTGTTTAAACCCACAACAATAGTCTTAAAAACCACAAAAAATATGATTCAAATTGTTAATTATTTGCTTTTCTGTTTAATCCACATTAAGTCAGATTCTGCTTCAGGGCCTCCAGGACTTCAGGGGCCAGAAATCAGGGTTTTCCCAACTGTATTAAAAGCCTTTACAGGCTAAATGTTGCTTGTTTTTATTTTTTTAGAAAAATTATTTAAAATTTTCTTTCATAAAACATTGCTTAATTCTTGCTTTTTTCTTGTACATTAGCGGCTCACATTGAGCTGCGTGAGCAGAGCTAGCGCTGTGGCTTTTAGACGTGATGAATTCTACAGAGAAACATGAATCTTCACAGGTTGATAGAAATACCCACACAGGTGAGTCCAGTTTGAGTGAAAGGAGGTAAAGCAGGGAAACTTTAGAGATCCAGCTGCGCTGGCGTGTGATTGGTCCGCGCTCAGGCTTCATCCCGAGTTCAATGCATGAACTGTGGTTACACCTCTGGGCCTTTTGGGCGGCGATGAAGAACCAATAGGAATGAACACGGCAGCTGCTGCAACGAGCCGCCATCTTGAAAGTCTGGTTTCCTCTTCAGGACAAGAAGTGGATCCTGAACCATGAAGATGTTGTGCTGGGAGAACTACTAGGAAAGGTGACCTCACTTCCTGTTTCCCCCCTCCATCAGTCACCTCGTGCCATATCTAGATGCTCCCGTGTCCCATAATGCCTTTGCCTGTTGCCAGGGTAACTTTGGCGAGGTCTTCAAAGGAACGCTGCAGCGAGACAAAGTGCCTGTTGCCGTCAAAACATGTAAAGAGGATTTACCTCCAGAGCTGAAGATCCGCTTCCTGTCTGAGGCCAGGTGAGCTCTCAGGTCACTTCAAACCATCAACCATAGAAGAAGAAAACCGCTAAAGCTCTCACCTGATTGGCTGCAGGATCCTCAAGCAATACGACCATCCCAACATCGTGAAGCTGATCGGCGTCTGCACTCAGAGGCAACCCATCTACATCGTCATGGAGCTGGTTTCAGGTGGGTGGAGCCTCCACTTCCTATTGGCTGGCCATCTGCTGCTGGCTTCCTATTGGCCGTAACCGAGCGGCTGCTTCTCCACCAGGCGGGGACTTCCTGTCATTCCTGAGGAAGAAGAAAGACGAACTGAAGACGAAGCAGCTGGTTCGCTTCGCTGTGGACGCTGCTGCCGGCATGGCGTACCTGGAGAGTAAAAACTGCATCCACAGGTGAGTACGGTCACTCAGGCAAGCAGCTGGCTTGGTGGAGCGCTGTGTGACTGTGACCTTTGACCCCCAGGGACCTGGCCGCCAGGAACTGTCTGGTGGGTGAAAGCAACGTGTTGAAGATCAGCGACTTCGGGATGAGTCGGCAGGAAGATGACGGCGTTTATTCTTCTTCTGGACTCAAGCAGATTCCCATCAAGTGGACGGCGCCTGAGGCCCTGAACTACGGTAACGGCTGGCCACGCCCACTCCCGAAGCCGCTTGGCGACTGTCTGCTGACTGGCTGTGCTCCGCAGGTCGCTACAGCTCAGAGAGCGACGTGTGGAGCTACGGCATCCTGCTGTGGGAGACCTTCAGCCTGGGGGTGTGTCCGTACCCAGGGATGACCAATCAGCAGGCCAGGGAGCAGGTGGAGAAAGGTAAGCGGGCGCCGCCGCCTGTCGCCACCATCAAAGGGTTAGCGGTGACCGTGGAGATGTCTTTTGGTTGCCAGGCTACAGGATGTCGTGTCCTCAGCGTTGCCCTGACGACGTGTACAAAGTGATGCAGCGCTGCTGGCAGTACAACCCGGAGGACCGGCCCAAGTTCTCAGAGCTGCAGAGAGACCTGGCGGCCATCAAGAGGAAGTGAGGCGAGGCCACGCTCACAGGGGGCGGGGCCTGCGTTAGCTGGCGGCCATGGAGAGGAAGTGAGGCCTGCGGCCGCTTCCTGTCAGACAATACAGGTGCTGTCGCCACAGAAACAGCCAAGAACATGTAAACACACGGTGCCTAAATAGACAATTCAGCCATTTTTTATAGACACAATGTGAAGAAATGCCACTAAGCCCCGCCCCCAGAGCACTTCCTGGACTGTAACCATGGCGACAGAAGCTCCACGTTAAAGCTCTTTTTTTCTCCTTTATTTATTTTTTAATTAGTTTTTATTTCTGACAGCCAGCTGTCTGTCGCCTCAGGCCCCGTCCAGTCTGCCTTCCACTAAACTTCCCTCTAAATGGCGTCATGCTAACAAAACGTGACTCCTGATTGGTCACCATCATTTTCTGGGCTTTGTGAGAACTGAGCGCCACCTACTGTCACAGTAAATGAACTCCAGTGTTTTGTTGTTTTCAGCACTAATCGTTTCCTTTATAAACTTGTTATAAAAATTTTGTATCATTTATAATGAAAATAAATCATAAGACTTCATAAACTCGTCTGGTTTAATGAAGGTGAAGGACACTAATGACACTAATGAGCTCTGAACTTTGACCTCCTGTGTGTATAGCTCAGCAATATGAAACCATAAATGCTGTTGAAAACTTATAAAATAATAATGAAGACAACAAGAAACTCCTCTGGTCCAGCAAACCAGAACCAGCTGGGGAAGTCAGAGCCGAACCCAGCAGGCCACGCCCCCAAGAAGGTGTCTCACAACAGGCCACGCCCCCAAGAAGGCTTCTCGCAACAGGCCACGCCCCCAAGAAGGCTTCTCGCAACAGGCCACGCCCCCAAGAAGGCTTCTCGCAACAGGCCACGCCCCCAAGAAGGCTTCTCGCAACAGGCCACGCCCCCAAGAAGGCTTCTCGCAACAGGCCACGCCCCCAAGAAGGCTTCTCGCAACAGGCCACGCCCCCAAGAAGGCTTCTCGCAACAGGCCACGCCCCCAAGAAGGCTTCTTGCAACAGGCCACGCCCCCAAGAAGGCTTCTCGCAACAGGCCCCCTGGGGATATTTGGCTGTTTAAATCATGGGTGTCAAACTTCAGTCCTCAAGGTGTCCTGCAGTTTTTCGATGTGCCACAGGTACAAAACACAAGAATGAAATGGCTTAATTACCTCCTCCTTCTTCTCCAGAGTCTTGCTAATGACCTATTATTCTATTCAGGTGCAGCAGAGGCACATCTAAAAGTTGCAGGACGTTGGATGTTGACACCCCTGGTTCAGACATTTTGCTGTGACTGGTTGAGTTCAGAGTAAAATTCGATGTAATCACATGTTCAGAGAAACAGAGTATTTCGATACTCTAGAAAGCTGTTTTTTTCTCAGTGAACAACTGCATTTCCAAGAAGGCAGATTTTTATTGTGATGGTCTGTCAAAATACAGATTAAAATGTAACATCTTTAATTAGCTGAATTATAGCAGGAGGAATTGCTGTTAAATTGGATGTTGAAACATTGTCAGCTTCATGAGAAACTCACTTTTTGTCTGAAAGTCACAGTGTCTCAAAACAAAATAAGAACCAAATAGAGTTCTATTCCACTTCCACAAAAAAAATCTAAATTATATATGAAGTTTGTCCTTGTAGCAACTTTCTGACAAGAACATAAAAATTCAGATATTTGTGACTGAAAGACTTAATTGCAACATCATGAATATTTTTAGAAAGATTTTCAGAAGTTGATATTGCATGAGAAATCTATTCCATCTTTATGTTTTAATATTATAAAATTTCGTCTAACGGAATGACACGTTAAATTATAATATTAACGATTTAATACTCTGGCTACATTTTTATCCACAAAACTACTTTTTAAAGATTCCTCCATTTTTAAAGTGAAATAATTTGAGTTCCACCATAAAATCCCAATCTTTCTAAGATGTTGAAAGTTTAATTTAAGATTTGAAATTCCTCTTGCATTTGCAAGAATTTACTTTCCTCGGTTTGTGATTTATCTCTTATTTCTTCTTCTTCTTTCTGCTCAAACCTTTTCAATAATGTGTGCCTTACTGAACTATTAGAATTTTCTAGAAAGAAAACAAAAACATTGCCATAATTTGCCATTTAACTGAAAATGTCACATGCAGCGATGAATTCTGGGATGCAGCAGCAGTCCGGGTTGTCGCACTTCCTGGATGATGTTGCAGGTGTCGACAGCGCTGTTTCTGAATGGTCTATTTTACTGCAGTGCTAAAAGCTGCTGGATTCCTATTGACTAAATTTATCTGCAAATAAACCAATAAACCAACAGCCTCTTCAATCTGTCCAAACTATTAAAATTGTAAACTTCCAAATAAGGTCGGGAGCGTCGCTGGTTTGGGGTGAGGCTTGTAGCCAATTCGCTCGTTGATAAGCTCCGCCCTGGAAGCAGCTGTGGAGGACGCAGAGGCTCCGCCCCCAATCATATCAACACCAATGACAGAAGCCCGCTCACTCCAGCTCCTGGCCCCGCTTCCTCTCTCGTTTCGTGGCCTGAAGAGAGAAACTGACATGATGATCGGGTCGGGGTCAGATAAGGGGTTGACTGAACCTCCAGCTCCTTTTAACGCTCTCGAATTCCTCGGTGTCGTCGATCTTCAGCTCCAATCGAGTCGGTTTCCTACGCAGCATCTTCGCTCCAGGCGGCTCCTGAACATAACAGAACAGTTTGATCAATAAACGATCAATACGTTTGTCCTGAATGAACCCTGATGACCCAATAGTGTCATGTGAAAAACCTGGAAGGCCAGGTTAGATTTCTGCAGATCATCCACTAGATAGCCCTAACAAGTTGCTGCTCATCGATTGGTCAGGATCAAGAGCTGTTCCAGATAAACTGGTCACAGCTGAGGCAGGCGCTCTGTGGGCGTGGTCTCATCTTAATAAACCAGGAACTAATTAATGCAGCTGCATTTTCACCACAACAATCAAGGCTTGCTGCGTTTTAAATGAGAACAGAAATACTGAAGCGACTGGCGCCCCCTTCTGGTCACAGACCTGCTGCTGTTCTAGTGAGATCATGAGGATCCGGACCGACGGAACCGGGATGTTAACACACTCCACAAGTGATCAACCGATTGAAGCTACAGCTTTTCAGATCGGAACCGGAATCTGAGTTATAAACCGGTCCTGTTCGGTTTAAACTACAAACATCGGATCCGCCCGTAATTTAATCTTCAAACAGAACCGGACGGGATCTACAGATAGCCTGCAGTCCAATCGGAACCAACAACCTTCAGCACCACAGCAACTAATTTGTTGCGGTTTTCTGATCAGGCACAGCTGTGGGCACCTTCGCTCCGATCTCCTCCAGAGTCCAGCTCGATGAAAAGCCTCTACCGCTGGTTTAACTGGTTAAATTGGTTTCCAGGTGACCTCAGAGGGTCCAGGAGTTTACCTGCAGACCGGGGCCTCCGTGCGCCGCCGTCACCTGGTCACTATCTGACAGACAAGCTGCTTTCGCGGCGATATAACGCGGCGTTCAGCAGATACACACCGGAAGAAGTAGTTCTGACCCGGAAGCTGATTCTACATCCGGGTCAAGATTTAAGAGACTCTTCAGCTTCGTTCTTCTGTAGCGGTGAGTTCAACTCCTAAATAGACTAAACAATCACTAAAATCAGCTTCTGTCGGAAGAATAACGGAAAACCGTCTTCTGGATGCGCATGCCCCTGCGGCGCAGCTAACCGCCTTGAAACTAAATTTCCCTAAACTGAGAAGAATCAAGTTTCACGTTAGTAGCACCTGGTGGTTTTTTTTATGTATATGTACCAAATAACTTTCGAAAACACAGATGATAAATTCGTAACTGGTTCTACTGGCTCTGATTTTCCTCGTCCCGGATTGAAACTCGGATTGTTTTATTCAGAAAGAGGCCCATAAACTTGGTACCTTAATCTCGCGAGTGTGGCGCACAGTGAAACTGCTCGCGGGTAAAAAGAAGCAGATGTCTCGCGAGAGGCGGTTTAAAAGGACTTAAACTTGAACCTTGGCCCCTGTTGTGCTCCCTTTACTTGTTGTTCTTTAATATGACAGCCACCACGAGCATTCGGTAAGGAATGATAAAAACGTTTCAGGTTTTGAGTTCCTTTAATAGAAATGAGAGTGGTCTACAAAATACAAAGGACAAACAAATAGGAGCTATTATTTTCGCTCATTACAAACGGCTATTACCAACTTGTCCAGTAGATGGCAGCAAATGATAACAAACTACAAATCACATTATCATAACCGTAACTCTTTAAACTACTATAATGTATATGTTTAAGGTGTACAGATAAACAAATCTTGATTAAATAATGATTCAACTTTTATTTATTACGCACTCCAATCTCTGAAACAACAGCTCTGAACGGCTTCCAATCATTACTTTCCAACGAAAAACTGAACATGTGCTCTGTCGACAACTAACTGTAGCTTGAGATAACAACAATGAACCAATCAGAGCGAAGCCCACCTAGATGGCTCCCTGAGCTCTTAAAGTGACATACACACCGCCAAATAAGTCCATTTTCAACAGCCCCAAAGCCCTGCTTTCAGAAGACTGGTTCCGAGTTACAGGTCAGAACTGCAGATCCAGCCTCTGGTTCCGACCAGGGATCGTCTGGTACTGTTTCAGACCTTTTCTTTGCTTCTGTTTATTAATGTGGCCTTGGGTGAAGAGAACCTGAGATCCTCTTTACAGTCACAGATTAACAGAGGCGCTGCTTGAAAATTACATGCATTTAATGTGATTGATAAATAGTCACAGTTTATTTTATAGTACAAGAATGACCTCACTTGAAGTCTATGCTGCCCCTGGGAACCTTATAGCTGAAAAAATTATTACCCAATTAAATAAAATTAGTCTGCTTGGGGGAGGAATAATAATAATAAAACCACAAATATAACAAAATCCACCCAGGTGTTCCCAAACAAAATCCCTGGTGAATAAAGCAAAGAAAAGAAAAACTCTCCTTCTAGTTTTTTATTTTATTTATCAAGCTCAATAAAACGGACAGACAGGTCCTTTAAAACAGCCACAGGGCTGGACAATAGAAACTCCTCTTCTCTAAACAAAACCAGAAAAAGGAAATGCTTTTCATCAAGCATAACTAAACAAAAACATTTCTGAGCTAAAACTGAAACAGTAGCAGGCCAACTTACACAAAAGACATCAGGTTAGACGAGCACCTTAAGTATCCAAAGAATAATAAGAAATGATCTTCTCTAAAGTGAAGCCGGTCAGCGCCGCTCCAAACGTCTCTCCCTCTAGAAATATGTTACCTACAACAATCCAGAAATAATTCTAACCCAACAAGAAGTTAAACTAACAACAGGTCGATCGCTGAGATCTGATGATTCGTTAAGAGGTTTGATGTGAATGGCTGTGCTCTGTGGCAGCGTCTTCCATATGGGCAAGAGGAAGAGTGCGCTGCACCATGCTTCTGGGACAAGATGCCCCGACTGCATTACTAACCCTAACCCTACATACTGAGAGAAAAACATTAAAATGGATAAAGCTCCAGCATTGTTCATGTTTTTGTTTATGACATCTGCATGTTTTAGTGTTGCGTGATAGTTACGTAGTCTTTCTTCATAGATGTCGTTATGAACGTGAAGATGAGTTTTACTCCATTTTCGTTCTGCTCTGAGACAGAGTTGTCTTGCAGATCGAACTGTTTGTGCTTTTCTCCATGGAGATTTCTTCCTACCAGACACAACCTTTACTTTAATTGAAGCAATAGAATCAATGATATATGAAACTTTAGACTGAAAATCATCTACCAACTTATCTACATCATTACAGCTTAAGGGTGCGGAGGAAGAGTAGATTTGATTAAATGTTTCTGCTGTTTTCTATGAAGGAACGTTTTGTGACAGTAGCTGTTTGTCCAAGTGGGTCAAAGAATAAAGAACCTTCAAAGATAACAGCAAAGTGATCCGACAGGCCGACATCAGTTACAGAGACATTGGAAATATTCACACCCTTACTGATAACCAGGTCCAGTGTGTGTCCTTGAGTGTGTGTTGCTTGTTTAACATGTTGTGTTAAACCAACATTTTCTAAAATATCAGAGAGTTTTTTTGCTCCTCTGTTTTCGGGTTTGTCCACATGAATGTTGAAATCACCAACAATTATTAAACAATCATAATCAATGCATATGAGAGAAAGAATATCATTCAAGTCAGTAAAGAAATTTTCCACATATGTTGGAGTTTTGTATAAAGTTAGTGTCAAAGTTCGTTTGAAGCCTTTAACCTGAATTCCAAGATACTCAAAAGATGTGAAATGACCCAAAGAAATTTACTACAATTTATGGTTTTCTTTAATATAGAAGCCACGCCTCCTCCTTTTTTATGTTTTCTATTCTCACTTAACAAATTGTAGTTAGGAGGCATTGATTCAATTAGTAGAGTTTGGTCATTATCGTCATTCAACCATGTTTCTGTCAGAAACATAACATCCAGCGTTTGAGTTGTTAATGTGAATAATTGTGGTGAAACTGGGAAGCCCTGCCTGATTCTTGACAGAGAAACTGAGCTACTTAAGAACTGACTGGCATTCATTAATCATGGTAATGATCTACAGTTTATAATCAGAGTGACAGGTCTCCAATTGTCTTGTGATAAAGGATCTTTGTTTCGTGGATCAGACCTTGTTTCATGGTGGAAACATTATTGTCTGAAATTCATCCAGCAGGGCCTCAAGTAATAGTTTTCATAAATCTTCTCAACAGAAAGTAGAAATTCAGCGTCTCATCCAGGAGTTTTACTGTTTGTTGTGTTGCTTCGTCTCTTCGAGTCTCAAATCCAAAAGGTTTTTAAAATCAAGATTCATTTTTTCAACAGACTCCTGAATTCCATCAAACAGACACTGGCATTAAATACCTGGAACAATAAAGATCACTAGAACAATTTCTAATTGCTGTGTGGATTAAATCCAGGCCTTCACTTAATAATCAGTTTCTGTTATTATCCAGGAGATTACTATTAAACTTCCAAGCTAAGTTTGAAGGTTTACATTCATTCAGAGAGAGAAACAAGGTAACAGAGCAATGATCTGTTAGAGGAGCCGCTGAGATTTCACAGTTTGAAATATTATTTACCAGATTATGAGGGATTAACCAGTAATCTGCCCTAGAGCATTGGCCGTTTCCGGAAGGATTGAACCAGGAATATTGAAGATATCATTATAAATGTGGTGCTGCCCCCTAGAGGGGAGACGATCAAGCGATCCATCTGGAGTTGCATTAAAATCTCCTCCTAAGATAACCTGATCAGTGCAATATTTTATTTTCCATTGTTTTATCATTAGGTCAGAAAAAATATATTATTATCGCTTTATTATTATGTCCATATACACACACCAAAATGATCTTGTTTCCACCAATCTCCACTATTAGTTACCCAGTGGCCTTGTGTATCACTGATATGATCCAACAAAGAACCTTTATAAATCATAACCCAGAACTAAAACCCTAAGCCTAACCCTACCCTAACAATATTTTTTAAACCTCTTGTATTAAGTGAAAGTAAAGATAACATGAAATAAACAGGAACTGCCAGGAACGCTGAGCAGGAATGAGATGAGAGCCAGTAACAGCTGTAAGGAATAGCGCATTAGCCCTTTAAACAGATAGCGCATTAGCCCTTTAAACAGATAGCGCATTAGCCCTTTAAACAGATAGCGCATTAGCCCTTTAAACAGATACCAACCAGTGGGGAAGCAACATGGCGGTGGGTTAGGGTGCAGGTCGTCAGGGTGAAACCTTCCTCCAGGTTTCATCCTGTCCTCCTTCAAGCTGATCTGCTTTTCCTTACAAACTTCAGCATCTGTTTCCTCCAGGCCTCATCCTGCAGTTCGCATCCCGAACCGAACATGAAGCTCTGGGTCGGTTGTTGGAGCGACGGCGGCTCCGATCTGTCAACAGATCTCCATGGAGACAGGACTAGTGAGGATCCCAGGATGATCCCAGTGAGGATCCCAGGATGATCCTAGTGAGGATCCCAGGATGATCCCAGTGAGGATCCCAGGATGATCCCAGTGAGGATCCCAGGATGATCCTAGTGAGGATCCCAGGATGATCCCAGTGAGGATCCCAGGATGATCCTAGTGAGGATCCCAGGATGATCCTAGTGAGGATCCCAGGATGATCCCAGTGAGGATCCCAGGATGATCCCAGTGAGGATCCCAGGATGATCCCAGTGAGGATCCCAGGATGATCCTAGTGAGGATCCCAGGATGATCCCAGGATGATCCCAGTGAGGATCCCAGGATGATCCCAGTGAGGATCCCAGGATGATCCCAGTGAGGATCCCAGGATGATCCCAGTGAGGATCCCAGGATGATCCCAGTGAGGATCCCAGGATGATCCCAGTGAGGATCCCAGGATGATCCTAGTGAGGATCCCAGGATGATCCCAGTGAGGATCCCAGGATGATCCCAGTGAGGATCTTGGGATGATCCCAGTGAGGATCCCAGGATGATCCTAGTGAGGATCCCAGGATGATCCCAGTGAGGATCCCAGGATGATCCTAGTGAGGATCCCAGGATGATCCCAGTGAGGATCCCAGGATGATCCCAGTGAGGATCCCAGGATGATCCTAGTGAGGATCCCAGGATGATCCCAGTGAGGATCCCAGGATGATCCCAGTGAGGATCCCAGGATGATCCCAGTGAGGATCCCAGGATGATCCCAGTGAGGATCCCAGGATGATCCCAGTGAGGATCCCAGGATGATCCTAGTGAGGATCCCAGGATGATCCCAGTGAGGATCCCAGGATGATCCCAGTGAGGATCCCAGGATGATCCCAGTGAGGATCCCAGGATGATCCCAGTGAGGATCTTGGGATGATCCCAGTGAGGATCCCAGGATGATCCCAGTGAGGATCCCAGGATGATCCTAGTGAGGATCCCAGGATGATCCTAGTGAGGATCCCAGTGAGGATCCCAGGATGATCCCAGAGAGGATCCCAGGATGATCCCAGTGAGGATCCCAGGATGATCCTAGTGAGGATCCCAGGATGATCCCAGTGAGGATCCCAGGATGATCCTAGTGAGGATCCCAGGATGATCCTAGTGAGGATCCCAGTGAGGATCCCAGGATGATCCCAGAGAGGATCCCAGGATGATCCCAGTGAGGATCCCAGGATGATCCCAGTGAGGATCCCAGGATGATCCCAGTGAGGATCCCAGGATGATCCTAGTGAGGATCCCAGGATGATCCCAGTGAGGATCCCAGGATGATCCTAGTGAGGATCCCAGGATGATCCCAGTGAGGATCCCGGGATGATCCCAGTGAGGATCTTGGGATGATCCCAGTGAGGATCCCAGGATGATCCCAGTGAGGATCCCAGTGATGGATTCCCTTAGGTTCTCATCGACCATCTGGTCTCCCTCAGGTTCCAGCGTCTCTTGTAACGAGCCTGGTTCCAGGAGATCTTCATCACCGAGTTTTTCTTGTTTCAGAAGGTTAATCGTAGCTGGAAGCTCTGGTATGGATTTATTATTGCTTCAATGGCAACAGTTTTAGCTTTGATATGATTTTTTAATGCTTTTTAAAATGTCAGTCTGATTGTCCATCTTTGTGTTGAGTTCTCCTGTTGCAGGAAGACTAGCATTAGCTGTGTCCTCCTTACATTCAGGCCACTGTAGCTTCATTTTCTTCTCTCTTTTGTTCTTAATTATTGTGTGATCCCAGTCACCTTCTGTTCTTCACCAGAAGGATCAATGTCTTCAATAACATCTAGAAGAGTCGACCGGTTATAGTCGTGGTCTGTCGTGCTCGCCTCTGTAGATAAACTCCCAGACGGCAAAAAATTCAAAATGAAGGATGAAATATTTTGTAAAGAATGCTAAACTATGGCTGCACAGTCGCCTCAGTTTCCGGCCCGGGTCTTGGAACTGAGCCTGCATGTTCTCCCTGTGCATGCTGGGTTCTCTCCAGGTTCTCTCTGGTTCCCACTTTCCTCCCACGTCCAGAAACATGACTGACAGGTTAACTTGTGTCTCTAAATTCTCCCTAGATGTGTGTGTGAGTGTGTGTCTTGTCTGTCTCTGTGTTGCCCTGCGACAGACTGGCGTTCTGTCCAGGTGACTTTGCCTCTCGCCCGTTGAAGCTGGAGAAGCAGCAGCTCCATCAAGGGTGGTAGAATGGGTGCTATAAACTAAGAGAAAGAAAACCTTTAAAATTTGGCTAAAGCTCATATTGGACTAACTGTTGGTAAAGAATCGCTGAATGCCAGAACCTGTGCTCCGCCATCTTAGGACTTCTTCTATCCCTGCAGATGTAACCTCTTTAATTATAATGGTTTCGCATCAGCTCTGCATTGTGTGAATAGGGATCAGGAGTCGGGATGAGATAAAATGTGGTTTATCTGTACGAAACAGAATATGGACTAATCAGGAACCAGGTTCATCACAGGCAGTCAGCACCTTACGAGGATAGTTTTGTGTTAGCATCAAACTACCAGAACATTTTACTGGACCGTTAAACTCAGTGAACCTACATCATCTCATGAACTGGCAACCAGATGTCTGTGTTCACTATATTTAACACTGCCAACCACCAGCAGGGGCGCTGTTTCACCCATTGCACATCAACCCAAACTCGGAAGTAATGACAAGTGGAAATCTATACAACATTATCTATGTTACACAGGGTCGGCATGTCGGACGAGGAAGACTCTGCTCCGGCCATGAAGAAGAGCCGTGTTCTACGGCAGCCTGGAGGAGAAGGAGCGTCAGCGCATCACCATGGAGATGGCCAGTAGCGCTGCCGCAGGAAGTGATGCGCTGAAGGCGGGCATCAGAGCAGGAAACATCAACATCTCATCAGGTGAGTTCCACAGGCAGGTGGTGCCGCTGCCAGCTGGACATACAGCCTGACCACTGGCTGGCAGCACTCCGCGATGACTCCATTTCCCATGATTCCCTGCAGGAGAGACCATGGAGATGGAGGAGCGTGTAAGCGAGCGCCAGCTGGAGGCGCTGGCCGAGTTTGAGCGGCGGCGAGCGCGACAGATCACCGTCTCCACCGACGATGCCGAGGTGAAGGCCGGCCTCTGCGGGCGCTGGGAGAGCCAATCACGCTGTTTGGAGAGGGGCCAGCCGACCGCCGAGAGAGGTGGGCGGGGCCTGATGATGGCCAATAAGGAGGCTCCTTATGTCCAGGGTGGGCCGACTGATTGGCTCCTTACTGACTGTTTTTCTGTCCAGGCTGCGCAGCGTTCTGTCTGTTGTGGGTCCAGACGCCCTGAAGAGATCCAGGAAGGACGAAGAGAGAGCCAAGAGGTCACGGGACGAGGTACTGCAGGGTCCCCCAGAAAACCCACTCAGCCTGGCGGGTGGGCGGGGCCTCCGCCATGTTTTTTATTTAAGGTCTTAGACAGGAAAAGTACAAATCTTACTGGGTAATTATGTTCCAGGAAAACATCTCCAGTGAAACAATATTTAAACCCACAGCTAGTCTTAAAAACAACAAATCATAAATACAATTGAAATGAATATCAATTATTTGCACGTCTGTTTAATCCACATTGTTGTGGACAGGCGTAGTGGGATCACGTGGTGTCGTTAGTGATTATAGATCACTTGTTGCTCACTTGGGTGACTTAGTGAGTGGGTGATGGGGGAAGGTCTATTTTTTGGCTGACCGCTTCAATTTAGCACATTTTGTCTTTATTCACTGTTTTTTCTACGGATCCGTTTTTATGCTGTGTGGACACTGTGCCGCTTTGGATATTGGCAAAATAAATCAACTTAAATGCAACTTGGATTGCGTTTTTGATCATCTGGCGCGTCAACAAAGATTCCCCTATTCAGCCGCTCGGCGACTTTTGTGTGACAGTCGCTAACCCACATTAACTCAGCGGCTCCTTCCGGCCCCAAGGCTTCAGGGGCCATAAATGATCACATTGAGATGGAAAAGAGCCACGTCGTTCTTTTTTCACAAATATAAATCATTCTCAACACTTCCTCAACCCTCAGCTCTGACAGCCACTACAAGTTGTTCCTGCGTTTCACACAGAGCTGAGCAACCAGAGCGAACGAGGTTCGCTTTAAGCTCCTACCTTGATATAGAAAGAAAATAACCGCCCTCACTGGGCTGATGTATATATCATACAGGTCAGTCTGTGTGCTGTTCCTGTGGCGCGGCGGCAGCTCGAGGCGCCAGCTGTGTGATTGGTTCAATAACTATAAACTATGAACTGTCTTTGTCCTTTTTCTCACACACTGGAAAAAGGACAAAGACAATTCAAGTTCAGTTCACTCAAACGGGCGGAGAGCGGAGCCAGGAAGACTTCTCCATGTGAGTCTCCAAAACCCAATCTCTATTATAGATATCTTCTATCAATAAAGATACAGAAGATATTTTCATTTTCTATAAAAATAAATCTGCTCCTCCAGTGAAACTTGCAATCCGGCTTTAAAAATAGAGATTTTTTCCCCCAGTTATTATTTTCCTAAAAACAAACAAGCAAGGGTTAGCCTGGTGGTGGGGCTAGTAAAGCCTGGCGGGCTGCCAGGCCTATCATTCACTGGGGGAAACTGGGAACTACTGAGTAGTACTGCGTAGAGCTCTGTACTGCAAGCCGATTGATCGCTTCAATGAATTCTCATCCGATTGAAGCATCTGCTCTGTGAAATGTAAATCTTTGTTTCTCTCCACCAATCACAGTGTCTGCAGACGTGGTACCACGAAGGCCCCGCCTCCCTGAAGGAAGCTCGCCTCTGGTTGGCCAGATATTCTCTGCCACGGTGAGTCATCAGCAGACTGACCAATCAGCTCCTTGGCTGCTCCACAGGGTCCGGACCCTAAGCAGCCTCTTATTGGCTGAGATCCACAACATCTTGCTGTGATTGGTCCATCAGGGCGATGAGGCGTCTGGAAGCTGCACGGGCTTTGAAGGAGGTTTCCGATGCGACGAAGACGATCCGCCAGCAGGAGCTGCACAAGTCGCTGAGGGTGAGTCGGTACCGCGAGTTATGGACCGGGCCCAGAATGGAACCGGGGGAATTAGGCCTGATATTCCTGCAACGACTTTTTATTTAAAGATTTTTAAGAAAAAAAATGAAGCAGACATATTGTGTAAGCACCCATCAGATCCATGTCACCCCAGTTCAATCCAGTTGAACCAGTTTGTTTCATTTTGCAGATAAATTGGTTCAGTTCTTCTTTCTATAAACCAGACTAAGCCCAGTTCTGGAACCAGTTCAGTCCAATTTTTCTACTGGTATAAGAAACCAGTTCAACTCATGTTTGAACCAGTTTAATACATTTGAAATCCAGTTAAATATTTCTTCACTCAGGTTAGTTTATATCAGTGAGATCTGATTCCTAAACCACTTCTGTCCCAGTACAATCCAGTTAAATCCAGATTAAACCGGCTGAACCAGTTAAATTGTCAGGTTTTTTCACCTGGACATTCTCACACACTGGAAAAAGGACAAAGACAATTCAAGTTCAGTTCACTCAAACGAACGGAGAGCGGAGCCAGGAAGACTTCTCCATGTGAGTCTCCACAACCCAAACTGGAGATTCTTTTCCTGCTCTGCCTTTTATTGAAAGTCCAGAACCCTGGTTACATGGATTAGCACCTGCTAATTAAAACAGAAACCCGGCTGCTAACTCAGAGTCACAAGTCCAATCTGATGCACTCAAGTTTTTCTGTCTTTGGGTGTCTGAGGTCTGAAGTGCAGGTCCTGTATCTCTGGGTCACAAACTGTTCAGACAGGGAACCCTAACCCTAACCCACCAACCTGATCTCAGTTGAACTCTTCCTCTTCCTCCTCTTCCTTGTCAGAATCTGAACAACTTCTGCAGTCAGATTGGAGACGATCGGCCAATCAGTTTCTGCCACTTCAGTCCGGACTCCAAGATGCTCGTCACGGCGTCCTGGTAAGAGCTCCGCCCCCTGACTGCTGTTGTTGTTCTGAGGCTAATGCTAGCGTGTTATCCCCTCCAGGAGTGGCCTGTGCAAGCTGTGGTCGGTCCCGGACTGCGCCCTGATCCGGACCCTGAGAGGTGGCGGAGCTTCCTGCTTCTGTTTATGTCTGAGTCCAGTTAAATGCTGACTGTATGCCCTTTCCCTGCCTCGCTGCGATTGGCTGCAGGACACAACACCAACGTGGGCGCCGTGGCGTTCCGCCCGCAAGCCGCGTCTCTCTGGACCAGTCAGACGTCAGCCTGGCGTCCTGCGCCGCCGACGGGACGGTGAAGCTGTGGAACCTGGAGAGGTGGGCGGAGTCGGGAAGAGGGCTGGTTGCTATGGAAACAACCAACGACGATGTTTCTGTGGTCGCCATAGTGACGAGCCAGTGGCGGACATTGAGGGTCACAGTGATCGGGTTTCCAGAGTTTCCTGGCATCCGTCTGGAAGATTCCTGGGAACCACCTGGTAAGAGAACCGGGACCAGAACCGGACCAGAGCACTGTGTACTAACATGTAGTACTGCGTAGTACTTTGCAGTACTGCCTAGTAACTTGTAGTACTCTAGTAACCTATAGTAAGCAGTAGCACTGCCTAGTATTCTGTAGTAACCTGTAGTACTCTGTAGCACTCTCTAGTGACCTGTAGTAACCTGTAGTACTCTGTAGCACTCTGTAGTAACCTGTAGTAACCTGTAGTACTCTGTAGTACTCTGTAGTAACCTGTAGTAACCTGTAGTACTCTGTAGTACTCTGTAGTAACCTGTAGCACTCTGTAGTAACCTGTAGTACTCTGTCGTAACCTGTAGTACTCTGTAGTGACCTGTAGTACTGTAGTAACCTGTAGTACTCTGTAGTACTCTGTAGTACCTGTAGTAACCTGTAGTACTCTGTAGTACTCTGTAGCACTCTGTAGTGACCTGTAGTAACCTGTAGTACTCTGTAGTAACCTGTAGTACTCTGTGGCACTCTGTAGTAACCTGTAGTACTCTGTAGCACTCTCTAGTGACCTGTAGTAACCTGTAGTACTCTGTAGCACTCTGTAGTGACCTGTAGTAAACTGTAGTACTCTGTAGTAACCTGTAGTACTCTGTAGTAACCTGTAGTAAACTGTAGTACTCTGTAGTAACCTGTAGTACTCTGTAGTAACCTGTAGTACTCTGTAGTAACCTGGAGTACTCTGTAGTACTCTGTAGTAACCTGTAGTACTCTGTAGTAACCTGTAGTAAACTGTAGTACTCTGTAGTAACCTGTAGTACTCTGTAGTAACCTGTAGTACTCTGTAGTAACCTGTAGTACTCTGTAGTAACCTGTAGTACTCTGTGGCACTCTGTAGTAACCTGTAGTACTCTGTCGTAACCTGTAGTACTCTGTCGTGACCTGTAGTACTCTGTAGTACTCTGTAGTAACCTGTAGTACTCTGTAGTAACCTGTAGTACTCTGTAGTACTCTGTAGTACTCTGTAGTACTCTGTAGTAACCTGTAGTAACCTGTAGTACTCTGTAGTGACCTGTAGTACTCTGTAGTACTCTGTAGTGACCTGTAGTACTCTGTAGTACTCTGTAGTAACCTGTAGTACTCTGTAGTAACCTGTAGTACTCTGTAGTAACCTGTAGTACTCTGTAGTAAACTGTAGTACTCTGTAGTACTCTGTAGTACTCTGTAGTAAACTGTAGTACTCTGTAGTAACCTGTAGTACTCTGTAGTAACCTGTAGTAACCTGTAGTACTCTGTAGTGACCTGTACTCTGTAGTACTCTGTAGTGACCTGTAGTACTCTGTAGTACTCTGTAGTAACCTGTAGTACTCTGTAGTAACCTGTAGTACTCTGTAGTAACCTGTAGTACTCTGTAGTAAACTGTAGTACTCTGTAGTACTCTGTAGTACTCTGTAGTAAACTGTAGTACTCTGTAGTAACCTGTAGTACTCTGTAGTAACCTGTAGTTACTACAGAGTACTACAGAGTACTCTGTAGTAACCTGTAGTACTCTGTAGTGACTTGTAGTACTCTGTAGTAACTTGTAGTACTCTGTAGTAACCTGTAGTACTCTGTAGTGACTTGTAGTACTCTGTAGTACTCTGTAGTAGCTTGTAGTACTCTGTAGTAACCTGTAGTACTCTGTAGTAACCTGTAGTACTCTGTAGTGACCTGTAGTACTCTGTAGTAACCTGTAGTACTCTGTAGTAACCTGTAGTACTCTGTAGTAACCTGTAGTACTCTGTAGTAACCTGTAGTACTCTGTAGTAACCTGTAGTACTCTGTAGTAACCTGTAGTACTCTGTAGTGACCTGTAGTACTCTGTAGTAACCTGTAGTACTCTGTAGTAAACTGTAGTACTCTGTAGTAACCTGTAGTACTCTGTAGTAACCTGTAGTACTCTGTAGTAACCTGTAGTACTCTGTAGTGACCTGTAGTACTCTGTAGTAACCTGTAGTACTCTGTAGTACTCTGTAGTACTCTGTAGTAAACTGTAGTACTCTGTAGTAACCTGTAGTACTCTGTAGTAACCTGTAGTTACTACAGAGTACTACAGAGTACTCTGTAGTAACCTGTAGTACTCTGTAGTGACTTGTAGTACTCTGTAGTAACTTGTAGTACTCTGTAGTAACCTGTAGTACTCTGTAGTGACTTGTAGTACTCTGTAGTACTCTGTAGTAGCTTGTAGTACTCTGTAGTAACCTGTAGTACTCTGTAGTAACCTGTAGTACTCTGTAGTGACCTGTAGTACTCTGTAGTAACCTGTAGTACTCTGTAGTAACCTGTAGTACTCTGTAGTAACCTGTAGTACTCTGTAGTAACCTGTAGTACTCTGTAGTAACCTGTAGTACTCTGTAGTGACCTGTAGTACTCTGTAGTAACCTGTAGTACTCTGTAGTAAACTGTAGTACTCTGTAGTAACCTGTAGTACTCTGTAGTAACCTGTAGTAACCTGTAGTACTCTGTAGTAACCTGTAGTACTCTGTAGTACTCTGTAGTAACCTGTAGTACTCTGTAGTACTCTGTAGTAACCTGTAGTACTCTGTAGTAACCTGTAGTACTCTGTAGTAACCTGTAGTACTCTGTAGTAAACTGTAGTACTCTGTAGTACTCTGTAGTACTCTGTAGTAAACTGTAGTACTCTGTAGTAACCTGTAGTACTCTGTAGTAACCTGTAGTTACTACAGAGTACTACAGAGTACTCTGTAGTAACCTGTAGTACTCTGTAGTGATGTAGTACTCTGTAGTAACTTGTAGTACTCTGTAGTAACCTGTAGTACTCTGTAGTGACTTGTAGTACTCTGTAGTACTCTGTAGTAGCTTGTAGTACTCTGTAGTAACCTGTAGTACTCTGTAGTAACCTGTAGTACTCTGTAGTGACCTGTAGTACTCTGTAGTAACCTGTAGTACTCTGTAGTAACCTGTAGTACTCTGTAGTAACCTGTAGTACTCTGTAGTAACCTGTAGTACTCTGTAGTAACCTGTAGTACTCTGTAGTAACCTGTAGTACTCTGTAGTGACCTGTAGTACTCTGTAGTAACCTGTAGTACTCTGTAGTAAACTGTAGTACTCTGTAGTAACCTGTAGTACTCTGTAGTAACCTGTAGTACTCTGTAGTAACCTGTAGTACTCTGTAGTGACCTGTAGTACTCTGTAGTAACCTGTAGTACTCTGTAGTACTCTGTAGTACTCTGTAGTAAACTGTAGTACTCTGTAGTAACCTGTAGTACTCTGTAGTAACCTGTAGTACTACAGAGTACTACAGAGTACTCTGTAGTAACCTGTAGTACTCTGTAGTGACTAGTACTCTGTAGTAACTGTAGTACTCTGTAGTAACCTGTAGTACTCTGTAGTGACTTGTAGTACTCTGTAGTACTCTGTAGTAGCTTGTAGTACTCTGTAGTAACCTGTAGTACTCTGTAGTAACCTGTAGTACTCTGTAGTGACCTGTAGTAGTACTCTGTAGTAACCTGTAGTACTCTGTAGTAACCTGTAGTACTCTGTAGTAACCTGTAGTACTCTGTAGTAACCTGTAGTACTCTGTAGTAACCTGTAGTACTCTGTAGTGACCTGTAGTACTCTGTAGTAACCTGTAGTACTCTGTAGTAAACTGTAGTACTCTGTAGTAACCTGTAGTACTCTGTACTCTGTAGTAACCTGTAGTACTCTGTAGTAACCTGTAGTACTCTGTAGTGACCTGTAGTACTCTGTAGTAACCTGTAGTACTCTGTAGTACTCTGTAGTACTCTGTAGTAAACTGTAGTACTCTGTAGTAACCTGTAGTACTCTGTAGTAACCTGTAGTACTCTGTAGTAACCTGTAGTACTCTGTAGTACTCTGTAGTACTCTGTAGTAAACTGTAGTACTCTGTAGTAACCTGTAGTACTCTGTAGTAAGCTGTAGTACTCTGTAGTAACCTGTAGTACTCTGTAGTGACTTGTAGTACTCTGTAGTAACTTGTAGTACTCTGTAGTAACCTGTAGTACTCTGTAGTGACTTGTAGTACTCTGTAGTACTCTGTAGTAGCTTGTAGTACTCTGTAGTAACCTGTAGTACTCTGTAGTAACCTGTAGTACTCTGTAGTGACCTGTAGTACTCTGTAGTAACCTGTAGTACTCTGTAGTAACCTGTAGTACTCTGTAGTAACTTGTAGTACTCTGTAGTAACCTGTAGTACTCTGTAGTAACTTGTAGTACTCTGTAGTGACTTGTAGTACTCTGTAGTAACTTGTAGTACTCTGTAAACCTGTAGTACTCTGTAGTGACTTGTAGTACTCTGTAGTACTCTGTAGTAGCTTGTAGTACTCTGTAGTAACCTGTAGTACTCTGTAGTAACCTGTAGTACTCTGTAGTAACCTGTAGTACTCTGTAGTGACTTGTAGTACTCTGTAGTACTCTGTAGTAGCTTGTAGTACTCTGTAGTAACCTGTAGTACTCTGTAGTAACCTGTAGTACTCTGTAGTAACCTGTAGTACTCTGTAGTAACTTGTAGTACTCTGTAGTGACTTGTAGTACTCTGTAGTGACTTGTAGTACTCTGTAGTAACCTGTAGTACTCTGTAGTGACTTGTAGTACTCTGTAGTAACCTGTAGTACTCTGTAGTAACTTGTAGTACTCTGTAGTAACTTGTAGTACTCTGTAGTAACCTGTAGTACTCTGTAGTGACTTGTAGTACTCTGTAGTAACTTGTAGTACTCTGTAGTAACCTGTAGTACTCTGTAGTGACTTGTAGTACTCTGTAGTAACCTGTAGTACTCTGTAGTAACTGTAGTACTCTGTAGTAACTTGTAGTACTCTGTAGTAACCTGTAGTACTCTGTAGTAACTTGTAGTACTCTGTAGTAACTTGTAGTACTCTGTAGTAACTTGTAGTACTCTGTAGTAACTTGTAGTACTCTGTGCAGCTACGACCGCTCCTGGCGTCTCTGGGATCTGGAGCTGCAGGAGGAAATCCTCCACCAGGAAGGTCACAGCAAAGGAGTTCATGACATCAGCTTCCATCCTGATGGCTCCTTGGCCGCTACAGGGTGTGTAATACTCTGTAGTACTGCATAGTACTGTGTAATACTGTGTAGTACGTTGTAATACTGTGACGTTCTCGGTCTAATTATTTCTGATCTGATGCCATTTTCAGTGGATCGTTTATGAAGTATCTTTATGATCGTCAATATGTCTGATTGTTGATCAGCTTCTCTGTCATCCATTAATTCTGCCTGTTCTCGTCCAATCAGAGGGCTCGATGCCTTCGGCAGGGTGTGGGACCTGAGGACGGGGCGCTGCGTGGTTTTTCTGGAGGGGCACCTGAAGGAGATCTACAGCGTTCACTTCAGTCCTAACGGGTCAGCCAATGACACGACAGTTAGCAGAAAACCAGCCAATCAGAGGAGCCGTCAGTCAATCATCTTTTTCTGGTTGTTCCTGCAGCCATCACCTGGCCACAGGAAGTGGTGACAACACCTGTAAGGTGTGGGAGCTGCGCAACAGGAAGTGCCTGTACACAGTCCCCGCCCACCAGAACCTGCTGTCCGCTGTCCGATTCCAACGTAAAAAAAAACCAAAGCATTTTTCTTCAGTGTGAGCTCACTTCCTGTATCTCTGACATTACTTCCTGTGTTTTTGACCTCACGTCCTCTGCAGCCACTGACGGTCATTTCCTGTTGACCGGAGCTTACGACAACACAGCGAAGATTTGGAGCCACCCGGGCTGGATGCCGCTGAAGACGTTAGCTGGACACGAGGGGAAGGTAGGACCGCCCCGGGCTTTGATTGGGCCATCTGAGCTCTGCGTCCTGATTGGTTGTATGTTTCCAGGTGATGGGCGTGGATGTGTCACCTGACGGCAAGCTGATCGCCACCTGCTCCTATGACCGAACCTTCAAACTCTGGCTGTCAGAGTGATGTCATCAGTGACACTTTTTGTTTTTTCTAATAAAGATTTTGAAACATGATCAATCAGTTCTGTTATCTATTATTGATCCCAGTGCAAAATGATCCCAGTAGAGGTTCAATATCTCATGTTTTCATAGCTTGTCATGCGGCTCTACACTCTCTGATGGTTTCATCAGCAGATTCTTTCTCCTCCCATGTTGCTGGAATCCTGATGAATAATGTGGAACATCCTTCTGAAGTAGATTTACTTTGACTGAGCTAAAGTGATCAAGCAGCTCTCTGAAAGTAATTATAGTGATTCAAAGACACACAAAACCATCCATACATTTAATAGCACAACAAAAAATGTGTCTTTATGACTAACCCATCCTGGAAACAAACTGCAAGAGAAGCAAGGAAGAAACTAAAGGGTTTCTGCTCTGAGGAGAATCTGGATGAAATAAATAAGCAAGTCCAGAACAGTCTTGATAAAGTGAAACAGAATTATGAGTTTCTTCAACGTAATTTTTTAAATACTCCAGATATTGTGCAGAAACTAGATGCCTGTACTATATTAACAAATGAGATTTATGATCTTGTGTGTAAGCGTTTAGAAAGGGGTATTGTTGAAGAAAACTTTAATCAAGAAGTTGAAAAGGAAAGAGTGAGAGAAGTCTTAAATAGAGATGAATATCAATCTGTTTTTGGAGAAGCGTCTATTGAAAGTTCTCCCTGCAGTTCATCAATTACTAGCTCCAAGGTTTCTCAGGGGCGTGTAATGGCAGAAGCTGATCTTGCAGCCAAAAGGGTTCAAGTTAGATCAATATTGGAGATTGAAGCTCAGCATGCTAAAGTCAGTAAACTTGAATGTGACTGGAAATGTCATGAGTCCCAGATTATGGCAGAAATGAAGCAGAAGGAAGCTGAAGTGCTACAGCAGCTTGATGAAGAGAAGTTAAAGGTAATGCAAACAGACATGGAAGTTAAGATGGCTGCTGCTCGGGTTGATGTTTACAGCAGACTTGAAGATGGTGTTGAAAAGGGAAATCTTGATTTTAAGTCTGAGGTTAAATCAGAGCAAACACTGAAACACCCAAGTCATAAAGCTGCAAGGGTTGCATCAATTCTACCACCTCATGTTTGTGCTGAGATTCCTGCAGTGAACTTGGCTGAAGCCTTAACGAGCTCATTGAGTTTAAGTCGCCTTCCTGTTCCTGAACCTGCTATATTCTCTGGTGACCCTTTGAAATTTGTGATACTTTAAGATATCATTCACAACTTTAATTGATTCAAAATCCATCTCTGCTGGGGAAAAAATGTTGTATCTGAAAAGTTATCTTTCAGGAGAAGCCCGAAAGGCTGTAGAAGGTTTCTTTACAGAAGCTCTGAGGACGCATATGAAGGTGCTTGGTCAGTTTTACAAGATAGGTATGGAAACCCATTTGTCATCCAGAAAGCATTTAGGGATAAACTTATGTCATGGCCAAAGATTGCACCAAACGATCCATTGTCTCTCAGAGATTTTGCTGACTTTTTGAAAGGTTGTGAAGAGGCTATGCCTCAAGTAAAGGGACTGTCCATCTTAAATGACTGTGAAGAAAATCATAAGATGTTGAAGAAGTTACCAGACTGGGTTGTACGTAAATGGAGTAGAGTTGTTGTTGAAGTACTTGATGCATGTGGAAAATATCCATCCTTTGAATGTTTTTCTAGATTTATACAAAAGGAAGCACGTATAGTATGTAACCCTGTTGCTTCTCCATTTTTGTTAAAGTCTAGAACTTCTTCAAATGACCTTTCCAGGAAAGCAAAGGTTCTTAACACCAGTACGGAGTTTAAGAAACAAGAAAGTGTTCATGGTTTAAAATCTAAACTGCTTGTTGTGCAGACATGTCACACAGTGTTGCTAAATGTCCTAAATTTGCAGTTAAATCAATGGAAGACAAAAGATCATTATATATCAAAACCATCTTTGTTTTGGATGCTTAAGGAAAGGTCATTTATTGAAAGACTGTAAAACGCGGCATGTTTGTGAGGAGTGTAGACGGCATCATCCTACTTGTTTGCACAAGGAGAGAGTGAGATCTCATGATGTTGCTCAGCAGTGTTCCATAACTCCAGAAGAAACACCTCAGGTTTCTCATAGTGTTCTATCTCATGCACTCATCCGAAACATTTCTGCTACATCAAGTATTGTTCCAGTTTCCTGTCCTCTGTGAAGGATCCTGGGAAGGAAATACTTACATATGCACTCCTTGATACTCAGAGTGACTCCTCCTTTGTTTTAGAAGATCTTGTGAGAAACTTGACTGTTGAAACCAAACCAGTGCAGTTAAAACTTAGTACCATGGTTTCTGTTGATACACCCATTTCAAGTCAAATGTGTATGGCTTGCAGGTTCGGAGTTTTTTCTCTGATACTTGTATACAGTTGCGGCAAACATATACACGTGACTTTATTCCTGTTGATACATCTTGCATACCAAGTAGAAGTACAGCATTACAGTGGCCTCATCTTAAACATCTAGCTGGCAAAATGCCTGCTTTGCAAAATTGTGAAGTAGGTTTACTTATTGGTTTTGACTGTCCTTCTGCTTTGGCTCCCTTGGAAGTTGTTGTTGGTGGGGAAAATGAACCTTTTGCTCAGAAGACTGCTCTTGGTTGGAGTATTATTGGGGCAATTAATCCACATTTAGATCGGCAAGGAAACCAAAGATATGTACACAGAGTGATGGTGAAAGAAATGCCCACTCCATTAACTTCTGATGTTTTAAGAGCTTTGGAGTTGGATTTTAATGAAAGGGGTTCAGAAGGAAGAAGTGTTTCCCAAGATGACATTCGGTTCATACAACTTCTGAGCGAAAACATTATACAGAAAGATGATGGCCATTTGGAGATGCCCCTTCCATTTAAAACATCCTGCCTTCCTATGTTGCCAAACAATAAGACGCTGGCTACCGTTCGTTTACAACATCTGAGGAGAAGGTTAAAGAGAAATGATCAGTTCTACAATCATTATAAAACATTTATGGAGTCTATCATTAATGGAGATGCTGAACTAGTTTCTGAGGAAAATGCCAATGATGGTTGTGTGGTACTTGCCTCATCATGGGGTGTATCATCCAAAGAAACCAGATAAGTTAAGGGTAGTGTTTTGACTGCTCAGCTAAATTTCGTGGCATCTCTTGAATGATACTTTGTTGACTGGTCCAGATTTGATCAACTCTTTAACTGGAATCCTCCTGCGTTTCAGAAAAGAAGCTGTGGCTATTACTTGTGACATTGAAAGGATGTTCCACCAGTTTTATGTTGCGTCTAACCATCGCTGTTACCTGAGGTTTTTATGGTGGGAGCAAGGAGATTTGGAAAGTGAGCCTAAAGAATATCAAATGAAGGTCCACCTTTTTGGGCTGCCTCCTCTCCAGGCTGTGCTAATTTTGGTCTGAAATATTTGGCACAACTGCAGAGATTAAAGTTTCCATCTGCAGCAGCATTTGTGGAGAATAATTTTTATGTTGATGATGGTCTAATAAGTGTTCCTACAGCTAATGATGCAACCAGATTAATAACTGAGATGCAGAAACTGTGCAAGGAAGGTGGTCTGAGACTCCATGAATTTAATTCTAATAGGCCTGAAGTCCTAGACTGTGTGAATCCATCTGAGAGAGCCACAAGTACAGTTTCTGCTGATCTTAAACCTGATTCAAAACTTGCTGAACATATTTTAGGTATGCGATGGCATGTTCAAAAGGACTGTTTGGGTTTTCATATTGACCTGAGGGACAAACCTGATACACGACGTGGTATTTTGTCAGTAATAGCTTAAATCTATGATCCATTGGGATTACTTTCCCCACTCATTATGAAGGGAAAATGCATTTTGCAAGATCTGTGCTGCAGAAGTATTGGGTGGGACGACCCTCTGCCTGAAGACTTACTTGTACGGTGGGAGAAGTGGAAGTTTAGCCTTCAGGATGTGAAGAAGTTATTGATATCGAGATGTTATCATCCCGATGGATTTGGAAGGATTGTCAAATCAGAACTGCATCACTTCTCAGATGCTAGCAGCCGAGCATATGGTGCATGTTCCTATCTCAGATTTGAGAATGACAAGGGTGAAATACATTGTGTTTTGATCATGGCTAAAGCTCGAGTCGCTCCTTTGAAAATTACAACCATTCCTCGTCTCGAGCTTTCAGCTGCACTGGTTGCTGCAAGGTTGAGTGTTCTGTTAAAATCAGAACTTGACATGAAGATAGACGCTGAGTTTTTCTGGACAGACTCACAAGTAGTGTTATCATATATTAATAATGAAGCACGACGGTTTCAAGTATTTGTGGCAAATCGAGTCCAAATAATCAGAGAAAACACCAATCCGAGTCAATGGAATCATGTCGACACTACTGAAAACCCAGCAGATCATGCTTCGAGAGGGTTAACTGCCTCTGAGATTTTAACAACCAATTGGCTGACAGGTCCTGAATTTTTGTGGGAAAAGGAAATTAACCGGGAGTTAAAATTTTATCCTGCTCTTTTAGTGGGTGACCCAGAGGTTAAATCTATTCAAACATTTGTAACAACAGCTAATGACACTCCAGATTTTTTGGAACGTTTCACTAAGTTTTCATCTTGGTCAAAATTGATTAAAGTTGTTGCCAGAATCAAAAGACTTGGATGCCACAACAAATGCTATTCAAACGTGGTGAGTGTTAAAGAACGGGAAGATGCTGTTAAATCAGTGGTGAAACTTGTACAAGAACAGGCTTTTGGCTCCGAGATGAGGTTGTTAAAAGGGGGAGACATCCTTCCACGTTCTAGCCCTTTGTTCAATTTGAATCCTATTGTAAAAGATGGACTGCTGCGAGTTGGTGGACGATTAAAACATTCATCTCTTAGTGAAGATTTTAGATATCCACTGATTTTGCCAAAACACAGCCATGTTACTCATCTTATTTTGTCTTACTGTCACAATCAAGTAAGTCATCAGGGCAGAGGTCAAACTCAAATGCAGGTCCGGCTTAATGGGTTTTGGATTATTGGCTGCAGCAGGTTGGTGGCTCAGATGATTCATAAATGTGTGCAGTGCAGGAAGATCAGACGTCCAGTGGAAGAACAACTTATGGCTGAGCTTCCAAAAGAACGCTTGGAAGCATCTGCACCATTTACCTATTGTGGAATGGACTGTTTTGGTCCTTTTATTGTTAAAAGAAATCGTAAGGAATACAAAAGGTATGGGTTGTTGTTCACCTGCCTTTATTCAAGAGCTGTTCACATTGAAATGTTGGAGGATTTGTCCACAGATTCTTTTATTAATGGCCTGCGCTGTTTCATTAGTTTGAGAGGAGCCGTTCGCCAGATATATTGTGATCAAGGAAGAAATTTTGTAGGAGCCCAAAATGAGTTTAAACAATGTGGTCCTAAACATTTGGAGTCTTCCTGGCAGAAAATCAATGTGAGTTCATTTTAATGCACCATCAGCAAGTCATGCTGGTGGTGTTTGGGAGCGTCAGATACGAACCATTCGAAATGTATTAGCTTTTACTCTCACAAAACTTGGGAAAACTTGATGATGCTTCATTAAGAATTTTCTTTTATGAAGCCATGGCCATAATTAATAGTCGTCCTTTAACACTGAAGGGAATGAATGACCCTGGTTCTCTTGAACCTTTAACTCCTAACCATCTGCTTCAGATGAAGTCTGAGTCTGCCTTGCCTCCTGTAGGGAAATTTGTGAGGGAGGATATCTATTCCTCAAAACGTTGGCGCCGTGTGCCGTTTCTGGTTGAGCAGTTTTGGAGTCGGTGGAAGAGAGAATACCTCCAGAATATTTCCATTAGACAAAAATGGCATGTAGTTCGCAATTTAAAAATAAATGATATTGTAATAGTAAAAGAGGATTTTCTCCCAAGAAATAGGTGGCAGTTGGGTCGTGTTGTTGAAACAACTGTTGATAGCGATGGCTTGGTTCGAAAAGTAAAATTGAGGACAGGAGAACAAAGATCAGGTAGGGATATTATTTCTAAGAGTTCAGTAATAGAAAGACCGGTGCAAAAATTGGTGGTGTTATTAGAAAATGATTTGTAAACTTAATGTACACAGACGAGCATGTTTTTAAACAATCGGCATGATTTTTAAAAAAACTTTTAAATAATGCATAATTTTAGTAATGGTTCAGGCATTATTGGTGGGAGTGTAACGGATTGTAAAATGAAATGTCTAAATTATTTGTAGTTTATTTAAATTAAACAATTTAAATGAATTTCTAATTTAAGACTGTTGCAGATTGTTTATGTATGTTTGTCTGTTTTGGTTTGCATTGTTGGTGATTTATTTGGTTTAATGGTATTTTGTAATGTTTTGGCATTTTTTGTTTAATACGTACCTCACGGGCTGCCGTAGAGAAAGAGGGCAGGGCCTATAAAACTGGGGAATTGCAGTGAACCAAATGAACTGTCAAACGTTGGACTAAGAAATGGCGTTCCCCAGTAAAGGCAGCGAGGTACGTTTTTGTTTGTTGTTGTATTGTTGATTTGTGTTGTATTTTAATATTTGTATTGTTTAGTTTTCACGGTGATGGTGATGATGATGGAGGTTTTGAAGTCAAGTGACCTGACGATGATCCAGCAAAATCATCAAAGGAGAAATAAAGCCAATATCACCTGTCGAGACCGGCTGTTTTTAATTCAAGTACTGGGGATCAGCTACAAATGCGCTGAAGTTTCTCCACTGTAGAACAAACATGTAACTCATCCTCAGCTGCATCATAACGGACTCATCTCTGCATCACGGCTGAACATGTGAGGAACAGAACGAACTCAGAGTGAGAGCTGAGCAGAGCCTAGGGAGACGCCGCCTGTCCTATTCCAGCCAGCAGGGCGATGAGGAAGGACAGGTTCCGGTGAGGAAGAGCGCCACCAGCAGGACGTCCCGTCCCACCTGCAAACAGGAGAGCTGCCGTCATTCAGGAACGCCGCCTTCACTTGCTGCTTTGGCTCCTTTCCTTTACCGTGTCAGGCTCCACAGGATCGCTGCTATCTGCAACCACAGCACAGAGGTCAGAGGTCAGAGGAGGATGCTGGGAAAGATTTACACTTGTTCTCTTTGCAGGATCTAACAAAAGACTACGTTTTGATACCAACGGCTGCTCTGAACGGGTCAGAACCATGGACGGAACTGTTAGACTTTAAATATACAGAACTTTGACAGAACCCGACCAGAACCAAACACAATCGATAACACTTTGGTGAGACGCCCAGCCGTTCTGATGCTGAGCGGTTCTGGTTCTGACCTGCGGCGCTCCGCCATCTGGCTTGCAGCTCCATCAGGATGAGCATCATCACCTCCCAGCCGGTGAAGCCGCCCAAAACCTTCATCATCCAGCCATCGCTGCTGCTGTCCATCATCATCATGCCTGTAAATATGGCTGCCACTGTGGGCGGAGTCAGGAAGTCTTGATTAGGGTCTGGTGCCTTCATGTCACCGTGGGAGAACTGAAACTCACCTGCTAAGACCTTCAGAAGCACGGCGATGACGAAATGAGCCCAGTTGAACAGGAACCGCCTGAAACAGAACCAGAACTGGTTTTATTGGTTTTACTGGGAAACTTTGGACTTCCAGCCCGGTCCAGAATGGAAATAGGTCTAATCATTCAGTTTTATCAGCTAAAATCCTGACTGGAAGAATTTTGGAAGCTGTTCAAGAACCCAACCATCAGGTACCAGAACAGAAGCGGTCAGAACCGGAACCGACCTTGGATGCTGCGGCGCACAGCGCGTCAAGGCCAGGATGGGCTGGATCAGCACCAGAGTCAGAACCAGGCAGCCCAGCACTGAATGAACTCCCTGTGGAGAAACAGAACCCTGCAGATCAATCCAGCCCAGTGGTACCAGGTTCTGGTTCCGCTGTTCTGTTGGATCGGCCTCCTGACAGCACTACGTAACAGATGATCACGTTTTATTAATCAGGTCGTCATAGACTTGTTATTAGCAGTTAGCTTCATCCATGCTGCCCCTAGGGGACGTGGGGGGAAATGTATTTGCATTCAGTCGCAATAAGTAATATTTATCATCTATTTTGTATAATAACAAAAGTCAATTTAAAATTTCAGATATGTACACATTTAAAGATCCTCAATAAAAACATTATTACCGCTGCAAAAAATTATTAAAAAGGATTTATTCAGTGCATGTTTATGTCTGTGTGATGTTGAGATGGATCTGCTTATGAAAAATAGCTCTTTACCCTGACCCCTAACCCCTGACCCCTAACCCCAACCCTAACAACCCTCAGACCAACACAAACAGACACAATCAGATGGTTTTATTACTCAGCGACAATAACCCAGAAATAGAGCAAATAGTTTGGATGTATTTTCATTTCTTTCCTTCTTACAGGAAGTTTCTGTTTATGGATGGAAAGAGAGGAAAACCTTCAGCCTGTTCAGCTTTTACATTTTGAACACAGTCTGATATGAATTTCTGTCCCAAAGAAAAGATGGAAAACTTCACATATTTAGCAACCAAATATTAACATACATGGAGAAACCTGACATAATCCTCACATTCCAGCAGCAGGTGTCATGAATGAACTGATGAACGAACTGATGAATGAACTGATGAATGAACTGATGAACGAACTGATGAATGAACTGATGAACTGATGAATGAACTGATGAATGAACTGATGAACAGATGAATGAACTGATGAATGAACTGATGAACTGATGAACTGATGAATGAACTGATGAATGAACTGATGAACTGATGAACTGATGAATGAACTGATGAATGAACTGATGAACTGATGAATCAACTGATGAATGAACTGATGAACTGATGAATCAACTGATGAACTGATGAACTGATGAATGAACTGATGAACTGATGAATGAACTGATAAATGAACTGATGAATCAACTGATGAATCAACTGATGAATGAACTGATGAACTGATGAATGAACTGATGAATCAACTGATGAACTGATGAATGAACTGATGAATGAACTGATGAACTGATGAATGAACTGATGAACTGATGAACTGATGAATGAACTGATGAACTGATGAATGAACTGATGAACTGATGAATCAACTGATGAACTGATGAATGAACTGATGAACTGATGAATGAACTGATAAATGAACTGATGAATCAACTGATGAACTGATGAAAGAACTGATGAACTGATGAATGAACTGATGAATGAACTGATGAATGAACTGATGAACTGATGAATGAACTGATGAACTGATGAATGAACTGATGAACTGATGAATGAACTGATGAATGAACTGATGAATGAACTGATGAACTGATGAATGAACTGATAAATGAACTGATGAATGAACTGATGAACTGATGAATGAACTGATGAATGAACTGATGAACTGATGAACCGATGAACTGATGAATGAACTGATGAATGAACTGATGAACTGATGAATGAACTGATGAACTGATGAATGAACTGATGAACTGATGAACTGATGAATGAACTGATGAACTGATGAATGAACTGATGAACTGATGAATGAACTGATGAACTGATGAATCAACTGATGAATGAACTGATGAATGAACTGATGAACTGATGAACTGATGAATGAACTGATGAACTGATGAATGAACTGATGAATGAACTGATGAACTGATGAATGAACTGATGAACTGATGAATCAACTGATGAACTGATGAACTGATAAATGAACTGATGAATGAACTGATGAACTGATGAACTGATGAATGAACTGATGAACTGATGAATCAACTGATGAATGAACTGATGAACTGATGAATCAACTGATGAACTGATGAACTGATGAATGAACTGATGAACTGATGAATGAACTGATAAATGAACTGATGAATCAACTGATGAATCAACTGATGAATGAACTGATGAACTGATGAATGAACTGATGAATCAACTGATGAACTGATGAATGAACTGATGAATGAACTGATGAACTGATGAATGAACTGATGAACTGATGAACTGATGAATGAACTGATGAACTGATGAATGAACTGATGAACTGATGAATCAACTGATGAACTGATGAATGAACTGATGAACTGATGAATGAATGAAATGAACTGATGAATCAACTGATGAACTGATGAAAGAACTGATGAACTGATGAATGAACTGATGAATGAACTGATGAATGAACTGATGAACTGATGAATGAACTGATGAACTGATGAATGAACTGATGAACTGATGAATGAACTGATGAATGAACTGATGAATGAACTGATGAACTGATGAATGAACTGATGAACTGATGAATGAACTGATGAACTGATGAATGAACTGATAAATGAACTGATGAATGAACTGATGAACTGATGAATGAACTGATGAATGAACTGATGAACTGATGAATGAACTGATGAACTGATGAATCAACTGATGAACTGATGAATCAACTGATGAACTGATGAACTGATGAATGAACTGATAAATGAACTGATGAATCAACTGATGAACTGATGAATGAACTGATGAACTGATGAATCAACTGATGAACTGATGAATCAACTGATGAACTGATGAACTGATGAATGAACTGATGAACTGATGAATGAACTGATAAATGAACTGATGAATCAACTGATGAATCAACTGATGAATGAACTGATGAACTGATGAATGAACTGATGAACTGATGAATCAACTGATGAACTGATGAATGAACTGATGAACTGATGAACTGATGAATGAACTGATGAACTGATGAATGAACTGATGAATGAACTGATGAACTGATGAATGAACTGATGAATGAACTGATGAACTGATGAATGAACTGATGAACTGATGAATCAACTGATGAACTGATGAATCAACTGATGAACTGATGAACTGATGAATGAACTGATGAACTGATGAATGAACTGATAAATGAACTGATGAATCAACTGATGAACTGATGAATGAACTGATGAACTGATGAATCAACTGATGAATGAACTGATGAACTGATGAATCAACTGATGAACTGATGAACTGATGAATGAACTGATGAACTGATGAATGAACTGATAAATGAACTGATGAATCAACTGATGAATCAACTGATGAATGAACTGATGAACTGATGAATGAACTGATGAACTGATGAATCAACTGATGAACTGATGAATGAACTGATGAACTGATGAACTGATGAATGAACTGATGAACTGATGAATGAACTGATGAACTGATGAATCAACTGATGAACTGATGAACTGATGAATGAACTGATGAACTGATGAATGAACTGATGAACTGATGAACGAACTGATGAATGAACTGATGAATGAACTGATGAACTGATGAATGAACTGATGAACTGATGAATCAACTGATGAACTGATGAATAAACTGATGAACTGATGAACTGATGAATGAACTGATGAACTGATGAATGAACTGATAAATGAACTGATGAATCAACTGATGAACTGATGAATGAACTGATGAACTGATGAATCAACTGATGAATGAACTGATGAACTGATGAATCAACTGATGAACTGATGAACTGATGAATGAACTGATGAACTGATGAATGAACAGATAAATGAACTGATGAATCAACTGATGAATCAACTGATGAATGAACTGATGAACTGATGAATGAACTGATGAACTGATGAATCAACTGATGAACTGATGAATGAACTGATGAACTGATGAACTGATGAATGAACTGATGAACTGATGAATGAACTGATGAACTGATGAATCAACTGATGAACTGATGAACTGATGAATGAACTGATGAACTGATGAATGAACTGATAAATGAACTGATGAATCAACTGATGAACTGATGAATGAACTGATGAACTGATGAATGAACTGATGAATGAACTGATGAATGAACTGATGAACTGATGAATGAACTGATGAACTGATGAATGAACTGATGAATGAACTGATGAATGAACTGATGAACTGATGAATGAACTGATGAATGAACTAATGAACTGATGAATGAACTGATGAACTGATGAATGAACTGATGAACTGATGAATGAACTGATAAATGAACTGATGAATGAACTGATGAACTGATGAATGAAGTGATGAATGAACTGATGAACTGATGAATGAACTGATGAACTGATGAATCAACTGATGAACTGATGAACTGATGAATGAACTGATGAACTGATGAATGAACTGATGAATGAACTGATGAATGAACTAATAAATGAACTGATGAATCAACTGATGAACTGATGAATGAACTGATGAACTGATGAATGAACTGATGAACTGATGAATGAACTGATGAATGAACTGATGAACTGATGAATGAACTGATGAACTGATGAATGAACTGATGAACTGATGAACTGATGAATGAACTGATGAATCAACTGATGAACTGATGAATGAACTGATGAACTGATGAATGAACTGATGAACTGATGAATGAACTGATGAATGAACTGATGAACTGATGAATGAACTGATGAACTGATGAATGAACTGATGAACTGATGAACTGATGAATGAACTGATGAACTGATGAAGTGATGAATGAACTGATGAACTGATGAATGAACTGATGAACTGATGAATGAACTGATGAATGAACTGATGAATGAACTGATGAACTGATGAATGAACTGATGAACTGATGAATGAACTGATGAATGAACTGATGAACTGATGAATGAACTGATGAACGAACTGATGAATGAACTGATGAATGAACTGATGAATGAACTGATGAATGAACTGATGAACTGATGAATGAACTGATGAACTGATGAATGAACTGATGAATGAACTGATGAACTGATGAATGAACTGATGAATGAACTGATGAACTGATGAAT